ATATACTTGTATAGCAATAGGCAAGGTTCGTCTACCTACGTTCGTATGGTACAATAATGATTAAATAGATGTCACAAGCAGTCAGTTACATTGTAGTAAGTAAATATGTACAATAAAACCTGTCTATGTGAACACCTGTTTCTAGTGGACACCCTTCCTCTGGACATACTCTTCTGACTTCTGTATAAATTACCCTCTCTGTAGTCAAAACCTACCGACGATGAACGTTTTTTCTTGGCAAAAAATTCAATATACACAGGTCATCCTTTGATTTATGAGTAATATATATACGTATATAATCAATAAAAGTTTTTATCCACGGCTGGATTGTCATCATTTACTCGCATTCGAGCGTTGTTGCCGTCATTCTTCGTATTCGATTGTGATTTTCATCATTTACTCGTATTCGAGCGTTTTTGTCGTCATTCCTTGTATTTGATTGTGATTGTCATCATTTACTCGCATTCGGGCGTTGTCGTCGTCATTCTTCGTATTAGGGTGTTGATTATCATCATTTACTCGCATTCGAGCGTTGTCGTCGTCATTCTTCGTATTCGATTGTGATTTTCATCATTTACTCGTATTCGAGCGTTGTTGTCGTCATTCCTTGTATTTGATTGTGATTGTCATCATTTTCTCACATTCGAGCGTAGTCGTCGTCATTCTTCGTATTAGGGTGTTGATTATCGTCATTTACTCGCATTCGAGCGTTGTCGTCGTCATTCTTCGTATTAGGGTGTTGATTATCATCATTTACTCGCATTCGAGCGTTGTCGCCTTCATTCTTTGTATGGTGTGGACATTTTTCTTTTCATTTCTCTAAAATCAGATTATTCTCATAAAATTCATACAAAGTTGGACCTAAGCCTCTATTTTCGTATTCTGCATGTTAAGATATTTATAATGTAAAACCTAAGAGGTAAATTGAATGTCTTCAGTTGAGAATAAGTATAAGGTAAATGTGTGAATTCTGCTTGTTGTTGCACTATTTTTTATAATAAACAAGGTTTGATACGCAACACTGAATAGACTGCAGTCGTAGATTAGTTGTAAAGAAAACAAAAGAAGTTGGGACTTGGTCATGCTTGATTATGTTTCTTTTATATATCACCGTTTGCATTCGTTGAAATCGGCCTGCATTAATTTCAAGAGGTGGTCGGTGTACAAGGTCATATGTTTGAGTTATTGGTTTAATGATAAATGTGACCCTTAAATGCGTTATGCTTAAGTATGCGTGAAACAAATACTCCAACGCTATAATCGCTACATGCCGTGATTAGATATACTTTGTAGATGTTATTAATGAGCTAAGTGTATGCCTCAATCAAATGGCTCATTTTGAACATATAAAAAGTATTTGTGTTTTGTTTCGGGGAATCGTATTCCCATGTGGTACACACATAAATAGTGTACATTATGTAGAAAAGCCTGGTTTATATAATATTGAAGGGCATGCTGATTGTACACACGAGTACATGCATGAAGGCCTAATATTGGAATTGCTTGCATACCTAAATAAAAGTAAACTCTTCTAATCCCCAAGGAGGATTGGAAGCCAGGGTTCCAACTCGATATTCTTTAATCTCCACGCATGCGTCATTTGCTATTCGTGTCTGTATAATTTGTACGACTGCATGGAGAATGACCCGATACTCTCCAACAAAGCTATCGCTAGGTGATTGTTTTGCAGAATATCGGTGTTGCATTCTGGGAGCCAATCCTCCTTGTCTAATCCCCTAATGTAAACTAGGCGGTATACGTAGTCCGATTAATCGGAGACTTTAAAGTGATTTTTAACTGTATTAAGAAAACGTTACATTTGTTTGTTAAACATTTCCTCTTATTTGAGATTTGTATTAGCTAAATCATCTCTATCATCGGTATTGTACGTTTGTGAGATTCTTTATTCTTGCCTATAACAACAATGATTCAGCTACACACTGTTTCTTAAGATCGCTTGGATGATGTAATGAAAACTTGGATGTAGCTCCAAGTTCTAGACTTTGAACGTAATAAGATTTTCGTGAGCGGAATATTGGGAGGTGAATACTACAGGGTGGTAAAAAAAAATGGAAACCCTGTCGCCATTTTCATCATATCTTTGTCATTTTAGGAAATTACTCCCTGATATTTAGCACATGTGTACATCATTCAATTTCCTACAGGCCTAACATATTTCATGACCATCAAATTGATAGTCACAATGCACTGGCGGATCTGGGGGGGGGGGGGGGGGGCCAGGGGCCCGGGCCCCCCCCCCCCTTGGGTGGGCCCAGAAAAAAAAATTGTGCCCAAAAAAGATTTGAGCCAAAAAAGGCCTTAAGGCCCCAAAAAGTAGGCCTTTTTGGTCATAAATTGGCCTTCTAAGGCCTTGTTTTTTGATTTTAGGCCAAATTTTGAAAAAATGGGCCTCAAAATTTCAAAATTTGGGCCCACTTTGGGGTTTTTGGGGCCCAAAATTTTTTTCCGCGCAAGCGCAGAAGTTTTTTTCTTAAACCAGAAGTTTGGGCCCCCCCCCTTGTTGGTTCCCAGATCCGCCCCTGCAATGTTACAGCACTTTAAACAACATGCTCCATTTGCCAACATTGCACTTTCGGCAAACCTGCACCTATCATCCAAAATGTCCCTACCTAACTTCAACCTGTGGTGATACACCAAAAAAGAGTGTACGAGAATAACCCCAGGACAATTGCAGACCTCAAAAAGCAGATCATCCATGTCATTCAGGCCATACCTGCTGAAAAATGTAGTCAGATCATTGACAACCTGTTCAGGTTTGCCAACAGCGTGATGGTGGCCACACTGGGGCATCTTGTTCAAAGTGCTGTACCATTGTGACTATCTATCTGATGGTCATGAAATATGGTTAGCTGGTAGGAAATTGAATGTTGTACATGTGTGTCAAATTTCAGGGAATAATTACCCAAAATGACGAAGATATGAGGAAAATCCAGGGTTTCCATTTTTTTGACCACCCTGTATATTCGTGAGCGGGATTGGGCGAAACAATTCGGTTTTTCAATTTTAAAAATATTCTAGGGTGTTGTTCACCGGGAAGTAGTAGTTTAATGGGATAGAAGAGTTATTCTCCAGGAGGGATTGGATATGATGATATCAATATTTCTCAAGGGAACGCAATGACGGAGGGAACTATTTATATCATCCGAGGGATATATCTCATATAATCCCAACATGTGAATGACGACCTTATACCATGGCCAAAAGCAATTTATACTGAAAATCCTAAACGTGCATTGAGAATTTAAGAGCATGAAAAACAAAATACTTATAATTTAAATATTTCAATAAATTAAGATTATTAAACAAAATACCATACCATACACACTAGACTCTAGAATCGAATGAAACCAGAGATCTTTTTGATTTTTGCCACCTTTTGACATTATACTACATACAAATACAATTATAGATGCAGAGATCATTTCTACACGTTTTAAAACAAATTTTGTGTAAATTGGATTAAAATTGTTCGAATAAGAGCAATTTTAGTGAAAAAATTTGTAATGTCACTCTGGGTTTCAAGGTCATTTCTGAGGTGACGAGAAATCTCGTCACTCCAGGTAGTCAAGCGGTTAAAGGTGCAACAATTAGTGCAGATGGCCATTCAACGATCATCGACCAGTGTCAAAATATATTTAAGTTTGGATATTCCATCAAGACTAGCATCTATTTTAAATTATCGACAAAGAAACCCCATGGATGAACATTATTTCAGCTGACATTCCTCTTGAAACGTGGTGATTCACATAAGCCAAATATTGACCTGATAGCTCTCAAAAAAATAAAAAATTTCGAATTTTCTCTCTACAGTGTGTCTCAAAAAAGTTACACTTACAAAAAGTTCAATATCTTTCATAATTTTGACTTTTCCCCTAAAATATTCTTTGGATACCAAAAGACAAATCTTTCTCGAATAATTTGACACCATCAGATTCAAATTCTGTCCTTGATTGGCTCCACAGGACAGCTTTCAGTGTCCCATAGTAAAATCTGACTTGCGCCAACTTCTAATTAAGTGATTTGATGGGCCAAATGACAAAAGAGGAACAGTTTCTTTAACATTTAATTTTCTTCTGAGTAGAAGCTTGACCTTTAACTGAGCCATTCAGTAATTTTTCTATTTGTCTTACATATGATCATTGGGTCTATCCACATAAACATGTGATCCCCTCAACATGTTCTCCAAAGCAAATCTGAAAATCTGAGGTACCCTTGCACATGCGAAAATGCATTTTAATATCACTCTGGTTCCATCAATTATTTTTGTAGAAGTTCATTTAGGTCAGTTTGTGATGCTGTAAAGCGCTTTCAGAGGCCCTTCAAAATCAAGGGTGTAAAGTGGGATGACCCTAGGGGGCCAATCAATTGGATAATTCAATGCTATCTTTTGATTTCCAAAGAGTTCTACCAAACGATCTGCCAAAGGCCTTTTGGACCATCCTGTTGCCATCATAAGTAACGAAATTGAACCCTCTGACAATGAAATGTTGTATTTCTATCCAGGAAAGAACAACCGGATCATTGATCATATCAAGATATCACTGTCCACCCAGCCCCGCATTCACGCCAAAAAAGAATTGATCACTACATGTCCAACCACTGAGAAGTTGGCGCAAATCAGTTTTCACATGCGTCTCTAAAACCTGTCCTGTGCAGCCAATCATGGATGCATTTTGAATCTGATGGTGTGGATTTATTCGAGAAAGACTGGTCTTTTGGTATCTAAGTATATTTTAGGGAAAAATTCAAAATCATAAACGATATTGAACTTTTTGCAAGTGTAACTTTTTTTTGAGACACACTGTATAGTCCTTGTTGCCCCTTTAAATGTGCATTAGATTGAAGAGAATGTTCGGAACATCAGTTACGCAAAACATTCAACATTTGAATCATTAACATATATTATTGAAATAAATGATTTCTAATGATCTGGTAATCGATAAAACAGTGGGATTAGAAATATACTATTATTTTAAACGATGGTACAAGTCAAGTGTATGAAACACTTAACACTTTTAAAGTGCTGCTTTGTATCACTTATCGTCCTTATCGTTGTGTTCAACTTTCCCGTTGCAAGAAGTATTCTTATACGTTTCAGAAAATGGAATATCAATTTACAAAGACCACGTGGAATTGTTAACGTGTTGCCTTATCTTGATAACGAGATTCCTGGTAATGAGAGTAGTATAAAAAAGGACACGGTCAAGAACAGAACAATATTAACGGGCTGGAAAGGGGCGAGTCAGATTTACACGAATACTAGCACAGTCGCGTCTGAACATTTGGAATGTACGGGCGACGTCACACTCGCATCAGTGGATCTAAGGATCATTGTACTCACACAAAAAAGAACTAAATCTCTGAAGGTATGTCTAAAACATATTAATAACGCTGAATATCACGGTCAGAAGGTGGTATTGGATATCTGGATTGACAGAGAGAAAAACACAGAAGCGCTCAATGAAGAACATATCGAGATGGTGAAAAATTTCACTTTTAAATCGCACATTATAAAATGCGTCCATATCCAAGACAAGCACGTGGGTATATACGGGCAATGGATAGACACTTGGAAACTTGGCCCGAATAATAAAGAAATCGGCGTCATTCTTGAGGACGATATTGACGTTTCACCACATTTCTATACATGGCTTAAACATGTACATTTAAAATACCAGAACAGAGAAGACGTCTCGGGGGTAGGTCTCTCAACGATCTACCCCAACCCCATCGCTGATAAAAAGTCATGTTTATACAGAATGAAAGCTACAGGACAATCACCGAACAAATGCAACACAATCCAAGTACCTCCAAAGAACAATTCTGTCTACATGTATAGAATCCCAACGACCTGGGGTTTTAGCCCCAAAATCTCAAGTTGGAGAAAATTCCAGAAATGGTACCATGACATCAGGCGATCTAATAAAACATTTAGACCCATCATTGACGCCAAAATAATCCACAACACGTGGTATAATAAAGTAAAGGATATGTGGTCCATGTGGCACATCTTTCACTGCCATACAAATAAACTTTATTGCATATTTCCTAATATAGCAAACAATGGAAAATTTGCCAATCATAGACAAGAGAAGGGACTCCATTACTTTGTGGAGAAGAAGGTGATCTCCCACAGCCCAAGCTTAGTCAGGGAATGGGATGACAGATATCTTGATCTCCCAGATAAACTGGTTCATGTTGGTTATGATGGCAGTTTTTCAACTGAATCTTAACGTTGTTTGATTATTTGAACTTAATGGGATTCTAATTTTTTTGAGTGATTTGGTGATTGTTTTTCCTTTGAGACATTTTATAGAATCTAGAAGTGAAATTACAACATACGTATATAAACCGATCTCGCTTATGCTCTAAGTCAGCTACTTCACCGAGCTGGCATTTTTTCTATTCAATTATTTGCTCATTATCAATGGTCCACGCGTGGTGGTCCGTCTTGTTGATAAAATGGATGGCCGTCCGGGAGGGCGGGTGGTTTGCAGGGTATGGATCTTCCAGACACATCCCTAGTGCGCTAATAGTCGTTATGATGGTGGGTGACTGGAGATTTGCCCGTGATAGTTGGATCGTCTAGGGTGTCAGTGTATGGTTGTTTGGCCATTTGTTTACATTCATTGCCAATAAACAGATCTGTGTGTTTGGATGTATACTGTATGTTGTTTCCTTGTTTGTTTAATCGTTGGCCTATTATAGTTTGCTAGTTTTCCCATCGAACAAAGTTCTATTAGGAATAATATAAAGAACCTATCCATCCGTTCCTCCATCCATCCGGGCGATCTACTCATGCGATAACTGAAATGGCGGTTGACGATTTTGATTCAGTGTTTACCTTATGGTCAAAATACCCCAATCCTGACCTCTTTTGGTGTACCGTATATTGGCGAGATATTAAAATCGAAACACCAACCTATATACGTATGCCCAATCGCCCATACAAATACTCCGCTTAAATATTTTTCGTTCACGTTTAGGTTGTGAAAACATTGCAAGCTTAAACTCCCTATTATGTCATACTTAGATAGGTGGTGACAAAATTGCTGACAAAATGTACAAATGACCTACAAATCCATTCCTTACAATCTCAAATACAATATATCCTCATGATATATGATATGTATATATGTATATGATATAGGTCCATGATATGTTATTTTGTGAAGTTATTAAGAAATCAAAGTGAAAACATTGGGGGAAGAATTTGAATTTTCCCAAATAATAAAAATGGTAACCAAAATTAAGGGAAAATAACACATTATTGTAAAATTTTTAGTTTTCCAAAAGTTACTGTAAATATGCACTAGAAAATAGACATGCCAAAAATTTCTTAAATTTCAATCAATTTCTTGTTTTGCCTGCTCGCTAGTACTGATTCTCTCTTTAATAAATTAAGCTTAAAACGGGGATCATGTACGGGAATTATGCGTAGAGGGGGCGTGGGGCGGTTTTGACTTTGAACGGCACCGGAAGAACTTACCAGCTCAAACCTGTTCTAACTTGTTGGTAACAAGCTAGAAAATAAGTTCCGACGAATCAGCGACTTAATTGATGACAGATCGTCACGACAAATCCTGACACCTATTGATGTATCAGGAAATCTGATATATTTATATCAGCACTGATGATAGTATTGGTTGTAGAAAGACATTTGACCATGGAAAACAGGATTTACTTATTGCTAATTTCTAGGAAAATACAATTCATAACATCATCAAGCTAGCCAATATATCAAGGTAACCGGACAACTCATCCCCTAGACAACTCATCCCCTGGACAATTCATCCCCTAGACAACTCATCCCCTGGACAACTCATCCCCTAGACAACTCATCTCTGGACAATTTATCCCCTAAACAACTCATCCCCTGGACAATTCATCCCCTAGACAACTCATCCCCTGGACAACTCATCCCCTAGACAACTCATCCTCTGGACAATTCATCCCCTAGACAACTCATCCCCTAGACAACTCATCCCCTAGACAACTTTATCCCTTAGCCTTTACCCCTCCAAATTGCCACCACTTCTTTGCACATAAAGATGCGCTCATCTCTCCATGTCATGCATGGTTCAGCCCTGAGTCATATGTGGGTTAAAGCGGAGAAAAGCAGCCCATTGGCAATTCTGTCTCAATATTTTGCAATATCTGGTGGAGGAATGGTGAGCACAGATGCTCCTGAGATAGCTCCAAAAGAAAAAGTCACAACAATTCAAGTCAGGAGCACTTCCATTGGCACTTAGCCCTTGCACTGATTTTTGCAATATCTGAAACTTGGTCCAGAGCCGATTTTGACACACTGTGCAAATGGAAGGATTTCTCACCCAACCATGACTACATGTGAATGAATGACATATCATTGCAAAGAGGAGGGATGTGTCTTCATGGTAAATCAAATGAAATTGATGTAGTCATCACTACTTTTGTGATTTTACGAGATAACTGCTTGTTGCGTTTTTTTTATACGCCTTGTACATACACTTCTCATGTAGCTTCCACCTCCAGGCCTCTGATGGAATGTCTCAACATCAAAGAGTAAATCTAGCCATTTAGAATAATTCATAAATGAGAAAATTACACTTACTAAGTTGTAGGTTTAGTTTTATGCATTAAAAATACCTAAAATCCTAGAAAATACACATGCAAATAGAAATAATTCTAAGGATTTAAAGCTTGTTTTCTTGCTAGGCAACGGCAGGAAGTGGTAAAACTTTGAACACTAATTAGCAGGGAAATGTTCATGATTACACATCCAAAAGTTGTAAATGTAAAGCCTGTCGGATTTGCCATCTCCTCATTGCCAACAACATGGATAATTTAACATCACAAAAGTTTGTAACATTGAACAATATAATACTCTAGAGCGGCTGTACGATGACCGTAGCTCACTTTATTTCATGCTGCTTATCTCTCAATTTTGGAAAGCTACGGCCGCCGTACGGTTGCTGTAGTTAAAATGTGACTGGGGCATTACTCATAATAGCCGGTCCTTATAATGGACAGAAGATTGGTAGAACGATATTATCACGCGGTCCTAACTTCGACCATTAATTTGAATTTTTGACCTACCGGATGTTTGAAAACCAAGGATTACGAGTCTCATACTGCACCATTCTTCTTCAAAACTTGTTCCATTCAAAGCATAACAAAAATCCCTTTCTGTTGGTACATTATTCTCTTAAACAGAGTCCCTACTTCCAGCGGCATTTTGGTCCCAGCTGTAAGAAGGCCTTCTAACAGCTGGGGACCAAAACGCTGCTAGAACGAGGGACTCTTTACAATAAAGTAATGCACCGATTGAAAGGCAATTTTGTTTTGCTTTTAATAGTTTAGTTTAGTTTAGTTTAGTTTAGTTTTATTGTTATTTACAGTGGTAGGTTCAATACAATGCAATACAATACAATACAAAAGAAAAGTAATAAAAAGCAACCCAGCCCACTTGGGCTTATCAACCACTAATGTTAAAAATTACAATTAGATTCATAACAAACAATTTTAAAAATACTAGCATGAATTTCTTAGACACATACATGCAGTTAAATTCAATTTACATTATAAATGGCATTTCTTCTTTTAAAATAACAAAGTTTAACAAAATGAGCAGCTTGCCTAGGCATTTAATGGTATAAGTTTGAAGAAAAACGGTGCAGTATGAGAGTCGCAATCCTTGATTTTCAAGCACCTGGTAGGTCAAAAATTCAAATTAACGGTCGAAGTTAGGACCGCGTGATAATATCGTTCTACCAATCTTCTGTCCATTATAAGGACCGGCTATTATGAGTAATGCCCCAGTCACATTTTAACTACAGCAACCGTACGGCGGCCGTAGCTTTCCAAAATTGAGAGATAAGCAGCATGAAATAAAGTGAGCTACGGTCATCGTACAGCCGCTCTAGAGTAAATTTGATTGAGGCAAAAGACATATTATATTACACTAGTAGTATAAGGTAGAACCATATAATATACTTGTATAGCAATATTAGGCAAGGTTCGTCTACCTACGTCCGTATGGTACAATAATGATTTTATAGATGTCACGAGCAGTCATTTACACTGTAGTAAGTAAATATGTACAATAAAACCTGTCTATGTGAACACCTATCTCTAGTGGACACCCTTCCTCTGGACATACTCTACTGACTTCTGTATAAATTACCCTCTCTGTAGTCAAAACCTACCGACAATGAATGTTTTTTCTTGGCAAAAAAATTCAATATACACTCCCCTCCATAAGTTTGGCAACCTTTTTTCCCCCATTGAACTACGTGTTAAAGGCTCTTTACCTTTGAATTTTCGTTTACTTAACCTGCGATGAAAATACTTATATTATTGATGAAAATCAAAGTCTTGTTTTAGGTAATTTTCTTGGTATGGATGGTTCTTAAAGGTGGAATAAGTATCATTATTTACTCGCATTCGAGCGTTGTCGTCGTCATTCTTTGTATTGGAGTGTGATTGTTTTATTTACTCGAATTCAAGCGATATCAGCATTGTCACTCGTATTGGAGTGTGATTGTTTTATTTACTCGAATTCAAGCGATATCAGCATTGTCACTCGTATTGGAGTGTGATTGTTTTATTTACTCGAATTCAAGCGATATCAGCATTGTCACTCGTATTGGAGTGTGATTGTCGTCATGACTGTTCATTGAGTGAGATTGTTATCATTACTCGTATATAATTGTAAATCAAATAAAATGTCCATACGTAGCAGTATCTTCGACTGTTTCCAACGTTTTGATTAGACAAGTCACCAGGAGTTAAATAGATGGCACATGAGTATAAATAAACAACTATTTATTTTAGAATATAGTTCGGAGAAGGGATACTAATAGTGTCATGGTTGGATGAATCTGTAAGTAAATCAAAGTTTCTCTAAAAGTATGATGTGTTTCTAGATTGCTTGTGTAATTTTAGAGCATTCCCACTTTTAATCAAAAAATGTTGGTTCTCCTTTTGCCCTGGGGTCATTTAGTTCAGGGTCCTCTAATTGTACTATAAATATACTATTTTTGGTTAGAAACAGAATTTTTAGAGATGGCGGAGTGATTTTCGAAACTATGTAGAGCAGAATAATTTTCTGAAACAGGTAGCCTTACGGTGGTAGCTCTCTCCAGATTCAGTTATCTCAAAAACGGTGTGGTCACCGTATGCTTATTTTGTAACGGCAAGCTAGACAAGACTCCAATGAACACTAGGCACTGTTTCGCTGAGCTAGATCTGTGCCCATGAATATATTATGAAATGAAACGTTATAATGGTCCTAAATGGGAGTACATTAATTTTAATGCATATGTATATATAACACAATAATGGATTCTATAATTGATGATTGGCATCAGCGTTTTTCTGTTTGTCTTCTTCTGTTACACATTGATTAATATCCTTTGAATATATATTTTAATGAAGGTGTTCTGATTTAATTAAGTTTATTGGAACAGCTTTCATACATTTCCGAACAAAGTATGTTAGTATGGCGTTTGTTCTTTATGACAAATGTAACGTGAGTTTGTATACATCACGTGTTGTAACTACTTGTACGTAATAAAATACGTAACGTGAGGTTGTAAATAATATCATCTTCTGTTACGAATTGATTGATTTCCATTGGAAACATATTTTAATGAAGGTATTGATTAAAATGCAATGAAACAGATCTCATACATTTCCAAACAAATTATGTTAGTTCGGCGTTGGTTACAACGCCTTTTTTATCATGAGAAATGTAACGTGAGGTTGTATACGACATGTATAATAGCTACTCGTATGTCATAACAACGTAACGTATTGAGGGGTTGTATACGACATGCGCTACAATTCCTTTTGCGTTAATAACATACGTAACGTGGGGTTGTGTATAGCTGTCAGAACAGCGCCATGTATTTTAAGCAATGATGTCTCGAACAGAAAAAGGGATTGGTATCGGTATGTTGAAGTTTTTGAACACACAATTCCTTTGAAATAGTCATCAAAATATTCTGAAAATCTTACACATCGTCAACTTAATGGTCATCTTTTGAATGGTAACAATATGATTTGAAAAAATATATATATACTTTTCTCTATATTGTTTTAGAAAACACATCAGACACTTCTTTTGTTCTTGGTATCATGTTCAGAATGAAAAGAAACATCTTACCTCATTGGAACAAAACGACATAAACACAGCGTGTTTAGGTCTTTCAATATTGTTAATGTACAAAAGAAATTGTGGTTGATTTAAAAAAAAGTATCTTTTTTTCTTAATTTTTATCTTTTTTGGGGGGTTTTGTTTTAATTTTTTGAATACCTTTTGTTAAATCAACCAAAATGTCCTTTGTATAACTATAATATTGAGTACTCTAATAAAATGTTGTATATGCTATTTCGTTCCAACAAGGTTCGGATAGAATTTTATTTCATTCTCAAGGATTGGTAAAAAGGAACAAAAAACAATTGCACTAAAAAACAAAAAATGTTAACAAAAACAGTTATATGAAATATACTATATAAATATTTTTCGCATTAAATTGATGCCAATCAGTCAACATTACATAAAGGACCGTGTTTTTTAAAGAATGTTTTCAATAATTGGTTTAAGAGAAAAACATTGTTGAATTCAGTTCACCATATCGATACCTATCTTTTAGAAATTTTTCATGACGCTCACAGTGATCCTGATCATGACAAGCCAAAAATAGTCATACATACATATTTTTATCTTTCATTAATAATCATTTTACCATTATCTGAATTTTTGTGAACTCAACTGCAATAATAAGGAAAATTTAATAAATAGAAAAATTTACCAATTTGTATTGGCCCACCCTCACAGGCTGGTATCGAAAGATTTGTCCGCTGTGACGGAGCATGCTATTTTTCATAAAAACACCAAGATGCTTCACGATTTATTTTTTAACTCATATGTTTCGTTATATTAAAGATAATTACTTACTCCATGCAATGGATATATCATTTGCGTGTAACCTTCACTTCTGTTTGAAGTCCAATAACGCTAGGAGTAAAATCTATTGAAAACGGCGCCAGAGTATCAAACTCTAAAATGTACCATTTCTTTTTTAACTTTTTAATAGCATGATATAGTGACACGATAATATTAACATATGTTTTCAGCATAACTCTGAATGTATCAATGAGATATTAATGCATTGGGTCTTTTTAATTTTTTTATAAAAAATAATATTAATATTTTTTGTCCGCTGTGACGGAGCATTTTCACAGTTCACATTTGCAACTGCTCCGTCACAGCGGACAAAAAAAATTAAACATTATTTTTTATAAAAGAATTAAAAAGACCAAATACATCAACATCTCATTTATACCTTCATAGTTATGCTGAAACCATGTGTAAATATTATCGTGTCACTATATCGTGCCATTAGAAAGTTAAACAAGAAATGGTACATTTTGAAGTATGATACCCCGGCGCCATTTTCAATAGCTTTTCTTCCCAACGTAATTTGACTTCAAACAGAAGTGAAAGTTACCCGCAAATGATATATCCATTGCATGGAGTAAGTAATTTTGTATGGTATAACGAAACATATGAGTTAAAAAATAAATCGTGAAGTATTCTTAGTGTTTTTATGAAAAATAGTATGCTCCGTCACAGCGGACAAATATTTCGATACCAGCCTGTGACCCTCTACATAACAAATGAAGTAACGTCGGATCGTGGTTGACGTGTGTTTCGAAGTCCTGAACGAAATAACATAACTTGAGGATGTGTACTCCTTGTATGCGTTATAAAATATTCCTTGTACATAATAGATGTCGTATACGTTGGGTTGTGAAGCACGTGCGTTACAACGCCACGTCAAAATAATATTCTTAACAGTTTGGTAGGTTGTGATCGTGAAGTGTGTAAAATGGTCCTTTACATATAGAATGAATGTCGTGCAGTGAGGTTGTGTACGACGTTTGTTACTGCGCCCTGTATCCAATAAACATAGCGCACGATCCAAGTGATACGGCGCTCTGTGTGTTTTGTGATTACAATTATTGATACAACCTGTGTGTGAGATCACGTACTATAGGTTTTTTCTCTACTGCCTTTGAATTGGCAAGTCAAAGTATCATATCTGTATATGGTGTGGCTTTATGCTCTGGGATGACATGATCTTTCGGTAAATACGCACACATTGGCAAATAGAAATAAAAGAAATAGCTATACGTGTAAGAAAAACTTATAGAGTATACGTTTATAGGATATGATATACAGTTACTTACTCACGCTTTACCCACGGTGCGTAACGTATTGTGCGTTAATACTTAACTAAGACAAAAGACGTACAAACGTACTATAAGTTGAAAAGAAAGGATATCTTTAAATAGTAAGGAATTTATTAAAACGAACGTAATAATATTGATAGATAGGATATTAGCAAAGCTGAAGGATAGTATTAAAAGTTGAAGATGGGACTCCAGGCTAATAGTCAAGCGAGGAATTTTGCTCTGGTGATTTTAAGTATTGGACTCTTGGCTACCGTATTTTATGGCTTTCATAGACAGGACCGGATGTGCTTGATTGACCCCGGGAATAGGGATGACCCAAGGGATGTCCGAATTGTACCAAACGAAACACCCTCATTAAATATAGGAAAAGGAAAAGGTAGGTTCATGATGTAACATTACTTTAGTTTTTAAATAACCATGACAAAGAGATATGGTAGCTTTGGACCGCAATCGAAGAGGGCCGAATAGCTGACCCCTAGCCCTTCAAGGGATTTGATTGGTTCCTTAAAGCATCTTCGGCAATCTTCGTGATATTAACATCTTCGGTGTGATGCGTCGGTGTCCCCAATTGTGAGATTAAAAATCAAAACCTCAAACTTTTCTAATTACCTAAAATACGGCGTCCTAAGTATACTATTCAGAACAGGCCCGTAGCCAGTATTTGCCAAGGGGGGGGGGGTCACTTTTTGAAAAATTCCAAGGGGGTTCACCTGTGACAATTTTGGTCCAAAAATGGCCAAAATCACTTAAAAAGTGCTCAGAATGGTGACAAACTGCATGATTTTGAAAGATTTTTTGGCCAAGGGGAGGGGGGCTACGAACCTGCAGAAGTACATTATTTATAATCCTATAGTCCGTATGTACCCAAGAAAAATATAAGAAGAAATCTTGAATTCCAATCGAGAGGCCCCCTAATAAGCGCCGCATCTAGAAATACACAGACAAAGATTCGTTTCACATAATGCTCAGATTTATTTATATGAAATGCTAATTAAATACTAATATAGTTGTCATGTCATCGTAACATTGCACTCTCAAGTCATTAGCAATGTTGATCACTTCGCATCAAGCAAGTAGATCGTTTCCAGAAATGTCGTCGACTTACGATATCGTACGACAGGCGTAGAAATGCACGACAAACTTACGACTTTCGTTAACTTGACTTGACTTGACCATTACCAAAACTGAGATATATATTTTGAAAAGATTGCATAACAAAAGATTTTTAAAGTATTTCTTTTGAATAAATATTTTTGAATATATGAGTGTTCGTGATGAAGCTAGACTATTTTTTCATGTCATTGTTATTATGTTAAAAGGGCTCTATCTATTTACTTACTCGAGTCTAGCTCACAGCTTGATGTGACTTCATTGATTTCGTATGTACACTAAAAAGTGCCACACGTGCCTAGAACTCCTATTAAATAATTTTTATAAATATTTATAAGAATATTAATTATATTGAGGTCGAAGCGTTGTTTTTCGGAAATAACCTCAAACTCAACGGATCCGCCATTTATACAGCTCACTCAGCAGAAAAATGGAGGCCATTTCGAAATGAAACTTCACTTAGCTAAATTAAATCCAATATAACAAAGATCGATTAAGACGGAGATATGAGCTGGTATTCTGAAAATGTATGCATAAAGTTATGTTTCATATAATTATGCCGTAACAACTGTGCGTGTGTCAACATGATTTACAAATATTGAATACCACGACTGCTATAACTCTCACTCAGAAGGCTTTGGACCTAGTAACTATTTATTTTAGCATATCTTTAAATTGTGGTTATCGCTTTTCTCCAAAATGAATAAAATTAACGTATTCATTATATTTAGCAAAGCTTGTATTGAGCATGGTCATTTCGACCCGCCCCTCTGCGATTTTTTAATACTTATCTGATTTAAGGATTTAATCCCTGGACTTGGAGAATGTGGAATGGTCGTTACATAATGCATTGAGTCTTGGGCTTGAATTCTTTTCACACATTGCAAAATATATTTCTCCAAAACCATCTAAAAGATGTCACGAAATCACGAAATGAACATATTTTCAGTGAAACGTTTTGCAAGGGTCAAGCTAGCAAAGTATCAATTTCAACCTTTTTAGTCCAGTCATCACCATGACAACCTTTAACTAGTGACCTTGACTGCGTTATTGGTTACGGAATGCAGTTACGTGAAATAGCGTGCACTAATATGTTGAGAATACAATATAATTTGGTTCATGATTTTACCTAGCAACCACCTAGCAACGGCTTAAACATCAAATTAGTGAAACTGAAAAATTCGGGGTAGGAGAGAAAAAATTGAAAATTTGGAAATCATAATTCTGTTATCAGCTGTGCAGAAACATTTAGGAATATGTTTTTCTCTCAAATTCGTGAAGAGAACGTGATTCGCGAATACTTGTCGTTTTATACATTTAAAAATTCATAACACCGTCAATAGTGGCACGATTTTCATGAAATAAAGCATATTGGAAAGACAATTCAGTATCAATATGCTAAATAATTATCTATAAAACAGAGCAATAATCACTCTTTTGCATTTTGCTGAGTATTAGAAAGAGGTAACAATCGATATTTTAAGAATTTAAATTTTATTGGCATCAAATTCAAACTATCATATCTTTGCCCCTCTATCCCCAACGACCTTGCCAAAAAGTATCTTATATCTGTGGTCAAAGCTAGAAAAACAACGGAAACACAAAAATTGCAAAAGGTACTGTTGATTTTGATTTCCTGCGATCTGATTGGTCTATGATTACACTGCATGAAACGTGCCTCGTGAAATGTAATGAAAATATTATCATCACACTCCAAACTGTCCAAAATTGCAAAAATCCCTATTACTTCTTTCAATATTTTTTAATGAAAATCATAAAAGTATCGAGGACAGACAGATATAAACATACGATTCATATCACATTCATATCATAGATCTGCGCAATAAATGATAACGTAATCAAACGCTTCATAAGTTACACGTTATACGGGAATAATAAACATGCTATAAGTGAGTTGCTAAATCTGTCTAATACTGCACTGTGTAAATTGTTTTTCATGTGTTATTGACATACGACCCGATTGAAATAGACTGCCTGTTTTGTTTACCTAAACGATATTTGATATGATAAGAAACGACATAAATTTTTATATTATTTACCTTCCTCATTTGGATAGCAATATTCCATTGAACCAAGCATATGGGGTCTATGTATCCCAGCTCATTACATATGCAGGGTATGCTCAAAATATTAAGATTTAAAAGCAAGACATATTTTACTGATATAACTCGACAGGGCCAAGGTTATAATTTCTAGGCTTTGCTATCAATTCTTGGGATTTATTTGTCAACATGTATTGCAATGACTTCAGTATGTATGATCCCTGGTGATATAGGTACTTGAATGGTTGGGGTGGGGGGGGGGGGTAAAGACAGTTTTCTTTTCACGTTGGATTATGATTTGGGATAGTTGGGATTTGTTTTCCTTATAATCGGTGTACTCCTAGATGTTTTCTTTTTCTCGTTTTCTGTAACCATTTTGTGGTCCTTTCATATTGGCACCCGAGTATACATAGAGGCCGAGCCAAAAAACAACCCAAACAAATGAAAGAAACCATTTTACTTAAACAATGTAATTGCCATCGCAAAAGCAAAACTAAAACACATGGCAAAAACGTTAACACATCGACAATCAGTAGATATCTTTTTAAAAAACTTAATTCATTTCTTCAGAGAGATCAATTTATTTTATCGAGACTTTCGACCTGTATATCCACTAGTCTTTTTCAATATATGCATCGCCTATAACTTGACTTTTTATTGTCTGCGTTGTATTCGAGGACACAATGAAAATATAATGTGCCTTTGGGCAATATAGATTTGATTTATCTATTTTGTAAAATAATGGCAAAGAAAAATGAAGTAAACTTGGACCCATGAACGAAGACCATGCTTTGACCTATAAAATGCTATTTCTTTAAAGCGGCTGTTGCTTCAAAATGGTATATTTCATGCTAATGAAGTATCCAAAACGTTAAGAAATTTCTTAATTACAGCAAGGAGGAAATATAGATGTGTGTTGTTCATTTAAAATCAATTTTTTAATCTTACAGTAGACGAAATAATCAATATGCTTTAAAATTAAAAGTCATTGGTCAAAGGATGAATTAATAATGGAAATATAATATCTTATCTGTTTTGGCCCTCGGTAGGTTCCTCTCAGGATATAATCAATATCCACAACCTACCATTAGGTTATCTCTCTATTATGTACATGAAATCTAACTAGTTACATGGTATGGTAATAAACAACATTTAAATTTGTGCATTTATTTAAGTTATTTTTCTATTTGACTGAAATAAAGGTATTCACCCCATGCAGATCGATGCCCCAAATTACTATACATTTTTATGATGCGAGACTCAACATTCAACAGGAAACTATACTAGAAACATTTTGTGACCAATGTAGCAATTTTTTACTGCTTAATAAATGGTGATGACAGTCAAATTAAGTTCTACACATCCTAGGCATAAGAGTAATCCATTGCATTACATATGATCTGCTTTGAAAGCAGTGAAGGTCCGATCTTGAAGGATGAGTTCTAAAAATATGAGAATAGAATGAGATTCTGATATTTCAATGTAACTCGTTTGAAAAATGATGGCGGTGATTGAGATTACAATATAAAAATAAAACCGAAACGAAATATTTGTAGATTTATAAGCACCCTTTGATTAGTTAATATAATATATAGATAATTAGTTAAGCTTTTTCATTTTTTCTGTTTAAGCTGTACACTTTTTGCCCAAATGTGGGATACAAGTATAATAAAGCTCATAATAATATATGAAAGCATTTTAAATTATAATTTGTCAATGTTTTTTCAACAAAATTACAAACAAATGCGAAACGTTTTTATATTTGAGTTGCTAAACAACAGATAGGCTAATATCGTTGCTTGTCATTATTAGTCTACATCTATTAATTTCCCATATTCAAACAACATTTCTGCATGACCTCATGAGTACAGCTACATATGGTAAATCGATTTTGAATTCAGTTATTACTTTCATGGTTAAGTATATTTCTACATTTCATTTGATATTATATATGGACAAATGTACGATAAATGATGTGTGTTATTTTAATGTCAACACAACTGGTTATCATGACCATGCGATATGTATAGAAGACAATGCTTATTTCTTAAAAACAGTTTTAATGATGATTATATCAAAAAAGTATTATTTTGTTTGCAGTTAATATGAGTCCGAATTAAAGCATATAATGATTTCTTTGATATTTTCCAACTATGTAAAAATATGTTTGCGATCAGTTCCCAAAAGGGTGATGTGAGATATG